CACATTTATCAGCCAATACCAATACGACGACCAATGTGTTGACTTTTTTCTTAACAGTATGTAAATGCACCTGTTTTCATCCTGCTGGAGTTTGAGCTGGCTGTCCAGACGCAGAGCGAGCACCTGTTTTTGATGGAGAGCATCGTTCAGCCTTTCCTCCAGCTCTTCTATCTAAAATGAATGTGAAAATAATCATGTTAACACTCACAGGCAACCACACATGCGTTAACTATTCTTTAAACTGCTTTTTTTTTATTTCATGTAGACAACAGTTTTCTATTAATCAATCATTACTTTGGTAAGGTGGTCCACTTTGAGATTGTCTATGAGCAGATTTTTCTGTGACAGATCTATCTTCAGTTTTTGAAGGTTATGAAGCAGCTCTTTTCTTTCAAGAAGCTGTTTTGTGACCTTCCCTGCGCCATCTTTCTCATCCGAAGACGATATGTCCTCTGTGGGGACTGTTGTCTCCAGACTGATGTCCTCAGACTCGATGGAGCTGGAGATGTTTGCCGTTGCGCCCTTTGGCTTCTTTGGAGGCATATCGACAAGGATCCAGTCAACGTGTCCTTGCCGACTTGTCGTGTCAGAAAAGAAGAATGTTTCTCAAAGCTGGTTTTAAAACTGGGAAATGTGGATTAGTAGTCAAGTGCCAGGACGGGCTCAGAAGCTCAAGGAAAGAATTAACGTTCACAGATAAGACGCTATAATTCACTAAGCGATGACACTTCGGTTATTTTTAGGTTAACTAAGTTAACGTTACCTGACTTTCGTAGCCTCGTGACAAGAAAAAACACGACAACGTGAATATGTATGTGGAAGCTGGGAAAAGTGTTTTATAATTAGCTATTTATCATACCGACTGTTTAAGCGTCCCGCCGCCCATAGAAACAACAATGACAACAGAAAAGAGAAGTGAAGATTGCGTTAAAGAGCGTCTTTTTAGAAAACGCCTGTGATACAAAATAATGCGCCACCTATGGGATTCCGCCTGAACAGAGCTCTTATTTTGAAATTCACCCCAAATTCAAAACCGGAAATAAGGGAATGTGTTCATTCTTTCGTAGCTCATTTGTGGTTTTGTGAACAAATAAATGTCTGTTTTTATTATTTTTCTAGCACGATACTTTTGCTATGTCTAATAAAAACATAACTGGTCCAGCTTTGCCACCGTCGATGGGAAAAAGCAAAAATGATGATTCAGATGAAGAAGACGCAAGTATGTTTACACATGCACGTTCGGTTGTAGTAACGTTAGCTGCTTTGTAAACTGCAATTAAATTGTTTTTACAAATGCATAACAAGGCTGGCAGCCTTTAGCTGTTTTTTCCCCTCTCCTGTCAATTTTCTTTTGCAAAACGGTTTAGGTCATTTAATTGTTTAGTATAGAGTTCAAATAATTGCACTATAAATTATAAATATTGCCTCCAGTCATAGGTCCAGCCTTGCCTCCACTGTATAAAGCTTCAGAGTCCTCAAGTTCATGTGAGGACAGTGATCAAGAGGAGGTTGTGTTCAAGAGAGCCAAATACTCATCATCTGGGAACCGGTCTTCTTTAAAGTATGATACTTGTTTTGTATTTGTAAAGTATGTACAGAAATGTTCTTTCTCAAGTGTGGATACTATATGGGCCTTAACCTGATGTATCAAATATAAAATACAAAACATAAAATAAAAATAGATCAGAAAAATCTGACCATTGGTTAATTTGTCAGGCAAGTTAGTCAGTTTATCATCATTGTCTTTCAGGAAGAAAAAAAAAAAAGATTTTCTCTCACTTGTCATGTGTGATTCTCAAACAGCAACAGAGGCATCATGAAAGCTGATATGGATATAAAGCAAACTGAGGAGAAGGAGGAAGAGGAGGATGATGGTTTCTTTGGGCCAGCACTTCCCCCAGGATATCAAAAGCGAGAAAAGTCACCAGAAGTGTAATAAACATAAAATAATACTAGTACCACACGTGATCATTAACGATTCAAAAAAAAGTCTTGGATTAACTACATTTTGCATTTCCAGGCCACCTTTACTAGGACCTGCACTCCCTCCAGGATTCAAAAAACAAGATGAAGATGAAGATGGTGCAAAAGACGATACCAGGGGGCTTTCAGGACCAGCTCTACCCTCAGAATATCAAAAGCAAGACATATCTCCTGAACGGTAACAGGAATTAAAGTTAAACAAACATAGCAAACATATCTTCACATTTTGCTGTATAGAGTTGGTTGTATCACACACTGTTATTTATTCTAATTTTACATGTAAATGTTGATTGAAAACATTTTTGTTTTTTGGCTTTTCCAGCAGGCCATATGTGGTAGGACCTGCCCTGCCTCCAGGCTTTAAAAGACAAGATGAAGATGAAGCGGGGGGAAAAGAAGATGCCAGTGGGCTTTTAGGACCAGCTCTACCACCAGGTTATACTCCAGAATTGTCAAACAGTGAAGAAGATGATGATTATGTCATTGGACCCATGCCATCAAAAGGACCGTCCCAGGCCTCTGTGGCATTGGACTTTGAAAGAAGAGCTCAAAAAATGAAAGACAAACTTACAGGAGTGGATGTAAGTGCATTTTATGTAGTTTTCTTTTTCTTTTTTTCCCCCAATAATTCAATTAGTACAGCTGCATACATGTATAATATTTATAGTAGTAGTAACCAGTGTTATTTATATACTATTTTATTAATATTTTGAATTAGCTATTGGTTTTACACTTTCAGGTTTCATTTAATTTTTTTTATTTTATTTAATTTGAATATAATTTTAAAAATTAATGAATAATATTTAAATATGCTTGAACAACAGTGAAAGACAGAAATAATTATGCTGTACTTAATACAACATCAATAAAATCTGTGACTCTTCTGTTGTTAGACTGGCCCAGAGGTGGTTTCTAGAGAGAGCTGGATGACAGAGTTGCCTCCCGAGTTGCAGCATGTGGGCTTGGAAGCACGGACCTTTAAGAAAAGATCAGGCCCTGAAAACAAAGACCGCTCAATCTGGACTGACACTCCTGCTGAACGTGAGCGAAAAGCTAGGGTGAGTTAGAGATTGAGTTCTAATATGACATGTGGAAATTGTTATGGAGACTCACTGTGGATTTACCAATGATATCATTTGTGATTTAAATTTTACAGATGAAACCAGCTTTTTTACATTTGGGTTTTGGAAAACAGGGATTTCAGGGATTGTTTGAAAATTCCCTTCTTGTTTGTCTTTCTTAGGAGCGACAAGAGGCTAAGGAAAAAGGTGAATCTGCCAAGGATGATGGACCACGTCTGCCTCAGAAAGAGCTTGAGATGGCTGAAAAAGTTACAAAATATAATGTATGTTTTTTTTGTTTAGTTTTTTTTTTTGTTAAATGCATCATAAATGACAAAGTGTGTGTGTTAATTAATTGTGTGTATGCATGTATATGTATGTATACACTAACTGAAATATAAAGAACATGTATAGAACAAGATAAAAATATATAGGTCAAGATAAAATATATAGAATAAGATAAAATATAAAATATATAGAACAAGATAAAAATTCAAACGAATTCAAACTAATGAATAAAAAAATATTATCATCTAAATGACACAAAAGTAACTCTGGCTTTTGGTCCTATATATGAGCGGTTCACTCTTATGGACCTTTTGAATGGACTACACCTTTAGTTTGCCAGATGCAATTGTTACTGCTTGAATGTAAATAAATTGTTTCAATTGCTCATCTCTTTTCAGGAGTCCAAGCGTGGTGAATCTCTCATCAGTCTGCACACTAAGAAGATGAAGAGAAAAGCTGAGGAGGATGCTGACAAGCCTGTGGAGAGAAGACCCTTCGACAGAGACATGGACCTCCAAGTCAATCGCTTTGATGAGGCTCAGAAAAAAGCTTTGCTCAAGAAGTCACAAGAGCTCAACACGCGCTTTTCACACAGCAAAGACCGCATGTTCCTATGAGGAACATCAAACGCATTTATCTGATCTTGTCAAGGACGCTGTACTGATTTGGAATCCTCGAAACATCATCATCAAAACATATTGAACCATGTTGATAATTATATGTAAAAATTTGGAGGACTGACTTATACTCTTCAATTCGCCTTTTTTACACCAATGTTTAATTGTAAGTATTTGTTTTGAACAAAAAATATATTTGATTTGTGGCTTATAAAAGTTTTTAGGCCACCTTTTTTTTATTGTGCTTTAGTGTATTGGTGTTCATATTCAGTGATATCCTATCCTAACACCCTATCGTTTTATTGAATAATGGTAATAGTAAGTATTGTTCACCAGCGTGTATTTTCATGTTAAGAATATGATGAGTTCAGGACATATTTCACCCCAAAATTAAAACTTTTTGTATTGTCATTATTTTTCTCTCATTATTTAAACGTTTTCACCCCAAACTATTGTGACAATGCAAAAAAATAATCATTCTCATTACTGAATGCAAAAATGTAATTGTGAGAATGTGTCACTGTAGTTTTTGTTGTACTGCGTTTAATTTATATGGATTTAAATTTATTTTTTTCTGTAACATTACAATATTATTATATTACAGTAATGACAGTCAATCACCATTCATATTTAGTTGTTGCGATGCAAAGAATCATAAAAATCCTAAAAAAGTGTAATTTGTTTTTTTTCTTTTATTAAATGAACCTTGTAATATTTTACTCTTTCTTTTTTATGCTTTCCTAAAATTTTCCCCACGAAAGCAAATTATGTAAGTAGGCCTATACAGGCTTATCTTAATTGTTTGTTGTCTGTTGTTATGATATTGCAAAGGTGACGCGTGAAATTTCCTTTGAATAACTTATTCTAAAAAAACATGTTCATTAACTATAAGTCAGTTGCATTTACTGCATTTTACTAAATAAAATGACAAAGCGATATCGAAATTCTCCTTCAAAAATCTATAAAATTAAACTATGTGGCAGCCATTAGGTGGCAGCCTAACTAAGTTAACTGAGATCTGTGTAGTGCTTCCGTTTTTTGTCCTAGCTGGCCACCGTACAACCAAATCTGTTGGCGATGTGCTAGCTAAAGTGCGTATAGCCAGAGCGTGGAAGAGGTCCATTAAATCCACATGAAATAATTAGAATATACAATTTTTAACTATTAACAATCATGTCAGACAAAGGAGAGGTAGATCTGACTGGGGCAAAACAAAACACTGGTGTATGGCTGGTCAAAGTAAGTGTTTTTTTTAAACAGTCGATGATGAACTGCTACAGCTAATGTCTCTCAAGTTTTATTAACAGGTTTCAGCATCTACGGATAACGTTACCACGATTGCAATGTGATTTGTGCGTTGCAGTGCGATAATTGTTTTAATGCTATTTTTGGTTTTTAATCTTCTAAAAAGGTCCCAAAGTATTTATCACATCAATGGGCCAAAGCAACAGGGAGAGGTGAAGTTGGAAAGCTCCGAATTAGCAAGTATGTAACAAATCTTAATACATTGAGGACTACAAACACAACATTTATATTAAACATTTAACAGTTGTATTCACATAATTGTTCTTGTTCGTACAGGAATCAAGGCAAAGCTGAGGTAACTAGCATGTCTTTAAACATTATCCCCTGGTTTTACAGACAAGGATTAAGCAGCCTTTAGTCTCAGAATAAAATGTATGTTTGAGTTGTTTTTATTGAAAGTAACTTGCACTGATATATCTTAAAATATGTCAGTACCATTGTTTTGTTTCAAGATACATTATAAAAGCTACTTAAATGCCCTCATGGAACTAAGCTAAGGCCTAACGTTAATCCTAGTTTAGCCCTGTCTGTGAAACCAGGCCTGATTCTTTTATATTTGGGCTTGTGTGTTTGGGTGGAATCAGTGTTTTTTTTTTTTTCTGATTGATTGACAGGTGTCATTCACACTCAATGAGGAGCTGACCACCATAGACACCATTGGGGAGAAGACTTCTATGGTACGAGCCCCTAGAGAGCATCCATTCACTCTGCAGACCGTTGGTGGACAGACTCTGGCTGTTTTTACTGAAAACTCTTCAGGTGAAAACCAGGATCTTACTGTGCTGAATCTCAAATAAAAAATTCTTACCCCTGGTTTCAGAGACCAGGTTTAAGATTTAGTGTCAGACTAAAATCCATGTTTGAGCTGTTTTCACTGAAAGCAACTTTCACTGATATATCTTAAAATACGTCAGTGCCATTGTTTAGTCGTAAGATGCACACCAGTAAGGTGGTTGTTTTTTTGTTTTGTTTTTTTACAAAGGGACCTTTGTAAAATCTACTTAAATGCTACAATTGATCAAACTAAAGCCTAATCCTGGTTTAATCTAAGCCCTTCCTGTGAAATCAGAAAAACTAAAACAAATGCATTTAAAATTATGTGCAGTTAGAGTACACCATTTGTCATTAATTGATGAGAATGTTCATGTGTTACATTAGTGTCATATTGTAAAAACTAAATAAATAACATAACTATTATCATTTAAGCACAACAAATATAAACTAAAATTTGATTACCATTTTCAGTAATGCAAAATGATATTATTTTTATTGATGACTCAAATTAAAATTATTGACTAATGATTTTATCATTATTTTTATTTAGTATTATATTTACATCTTTAGGTTTTATGTTTGCATACTTTTTTAATGATAAGATGTTCTTTTGTACACAATTTATGTCCAATTTAAAATCAGAACCACTGCACCCAAAAAGTTAGCTGATCCTTTTTAAATATTTGTGTACAAAGACATGTTAAGAATTATATAATGGTTGTTAATTACTTACTAATGAAAGTATTGTAGTATCACTGTTTTTTGTTAACCAAACGTTTGCTTTCAAACAGTTTATTCGGTAAGTCATGTTGTGCAATCTCTGGGATATCATACTCTTGTACTTCAGTTGCCTCATACTCTCTCTTCCTCCAGTTCTTTGCAATTACTTTCTCTACTCTGTCTGTTCTGTGGGATGAATCAGAAATTAGGTTGTAATAGCTTTCGTCTGGTCTCTGTTGCTGACCTTTGCCTCCCAATCACGTATGTGTGTTTTGATGGTAGAAGATGTTAGAATGGGCCTTTAAATATCGCTGGTTTTGGAAGCCAAATCTACTCATTGCCTTTATTCTTTGATTAACGTTGATTTGTTTTGTGTGTAGCTTGGGTGTTGTGTGTGCATGTCATGAGCGACTAGTTGCCATTCTAATTCACTTTTTTTTTTATATATTGCAAGTGTTGAATCGGATGATTTCTTTAGTTGTTCTAATGTGCTTGTGTGCCAAATTGCCTGGTCGCTTCACTTCTCTACCTGGGACTATTTCTTTAAAAAAAATAGTTTTTCAGAGATGATTGAGATCAATTTAATTTTTTACATTTTTAGCTTGGTAAACTGTAAATGTACTAGGGGTGTGACAAGAAACGAGATCTCGTACCACGATGTTAAAATGTGACGATGTATTTCTTGTCAAGGTGAATAGCTGTCTCACAATATCAGCATGATTGGGTTCGAGTTTGTGGCAAAACCTTATACAGTGCTTGTATTATATTGTTCTGTCTTTTACTGCAGCGTAGCGTTTTCATATTTACATATTAGAACGGCTCCATTCACAGTAAATGCTGCTTCACTCGAACTCGTTCTCTGCATGTGCTGTTTGTTTGGGTTAATAATGTGCATTTGGGAATGCATAAAGTCTGGTGCACTTTTTGTTTCAAGCAAAGTGTTTCACTGTTATTATTTACATGCGTGTAGCGCATCTCAGCAGTTTGGTTACAAACTCCATCTCTTGCATATGTTGTGAGTTTGGGTTGCTTATAACTTTTATCTGGGAATGCAGTGTGCACCATTTCACCATATTTGTAACGTGGCTAAATCATTCTTAAACCCATGCCAACACAGGAGAATACATCAGTATGATTCTAAATGGATGAATTGTTGTTCATCATGATTTTTCAAAAAAAAGTTTCAACCTTAGCTCAGTTTAAGAAATTTCTGCATTGCTGTCGTAAATTCTTCCATTTGATACTTTACTTGAACCAATTATTGCCTCATTGTTATATATGTATTTAAGTAATTTTAAAGATTATTGTTCACTTAGGTGTATTTATATTACCATCAAAAAAAAAATTTCGATATAAAATAATCATTAGTGACAGCCCTAAATTAGTGAAAACATTTCAAAATGCTCCTGCATGTTTGTAGCCTGGCTAACGCCTGACCCAATTCTCGTTGAGACTTGGGTCTGGGAACCGCATGTACATTTTCTCATATTTGAGGCGTGGTTTACGAATGCCCGTCGCCGTTTATTGGGTGCTAAGAATGTCTATCAAATGCGCCTGTACGTAGCTCATAGCCAATCGTTTCAATTAGAAAAACACAAGTATTAAGTACAGTTTGACATAGATGTTGAAGTTGTTATTTGCATTGGAAATTGTTTGTGCTTGTACTTCACGTTTAAAAATTCAAAAAACTAATGTAATGTCTAAATTGTCAACAACTTTAATTGGGTATGTGTGCACAGCTGAAAGTTATGCTACTAAAGCGGTAGCTGTGTATTGATCTTGAAAAACAACAGAACTTAGTGGCACTGTGACAACCACAGTAGCAAGTCTCTAGGCATAATGACAATATGATATTAATAAATATCACTTACGTTTTATAAGTTAAATGGACTTCGTCGACTACGATGCCTAGCAGGTACTATACAACTCCGTGACTAATATGTCTTGCCACTTTGCGCTCAGGCCTCGGGACTGCCGAACAGAAGTTGGTATCTACAATTCTTTATCGCATTTTCTTTCTCGGGTCACAGCTGAGCGGCAGATATTCCAAGGTTGACCGCCTCCTGCGAGACAAAAATAACGACTGGGGTCTCGCGAAGTTTAATGCCAAAAACGGCTCTTTTTTCAAAATAAACTTGCATTCTAAACTACTTAGAACAATATCTAAGGCTGCATCAAAAGGTAGCTTCGCGTCTGCTGCCATGTTGAATCCATAGAAATAAACAAACCACTTAGGTGTGTCGCATAGATGTCGTCATCGTCTTGCTGCTCCCTCCCCGTTCTGTGATTGGTTCCCTAAATGAGGTGAAAATCTGGACCATGGTATCCAGACTGCCTTTCAGCGTGAATTGAATCGCGCTGCGGGAAGGCAGCATGGGGAAACCCAGACTAGCATATTTGTGCATTTTATGACTTTCAGTCGAATAAAAAACACACATTTTTACAGGCGTCACTGAAGATTCCTTATAATGTTAAAGGATTAGTTCACTTTTGAAAAAACTTTTGCTGATAAATTACTCACCCCCATGTCATCCAAGATGTCCATGTCTTTCTTTCCTCAGTCGAAAAGAAATTAAGGTTTTTGATGAAAACATTCCAGGATTTTTCTCCTTATAATGGACTTCAATGGAAACCAGGTCCAACCGAGGTCCAAACGACAGTTAATAACAGTTTCAGATGCAGCTTCAAATGTCTTTAAACGACACCAAACGATGAATAAGGGTCTTATCATGCGAAACGATCGGTTATTTCAAAGCTTATTCCAAAAATGTAACTTTTCTAAGGACAAATGCTAGCCTTGTAATATATAGACGAATCCGACGAGCGTTCTGTGTAGGCTGCCATCTTGTGGCGACGCCATTGCTGAGCTGTTACACAGGCATATAGACATATGCACCGGTATGTAAACAAACCTCGATGATAACGCGAACTCACCCTCGATGACAGCTACAGCCAGGCAGAATGACTTGTTGGTTTGATCTGTGACTGCAGTGGCCTCCAGTCACAGATGAAGGTACAAACGATCTTACAGATTAACGTTATTTATGAAAATAGCTTGGCAAGCTAGCTAGGCTAACGTTTGCTAATCAGGAAACTATGAAAAGATCTGTCCATTTGGCAACAATAAATAAATAAATGAAATCAAATAAACAAATTCATGTTTTTCAGTTGTGTCCATTATTTATCTCATTTTCACAATGCAACAGGCAAGGGTAAGGTAACGTTACAGCTATAATATCGACCAATTAGTGTTTTTAAGCCATGGAAAGAGGTCAATATAACAGCAGGAAAACAATTATGTCACATAACGTTACATTTAGCTCAGGAAAGCCATTTAATGACCATAGCATGTTAATTGAATAGAAAAAATAGCAAGAGGAGATTTTGCTGATCACTATATCACATATTTATTATATTTTTTTTACTTATGTCATTAAATAATTGTTATTATACGCGAATGTCCACGTCTTGTACTCGCCCAGGAAATCTGTAAACCGTACGGCACCAGACAGGGGCAGTCGACCCGGGGTATTCACAGTGTTTTCTCTTCAAAATTGAAATTTTACTGCCACCATTGAAACAATTTATAACGGAGACTGTTTACCCACTCGACATTATACAAGGGATAACGTTGTAACGATAGTGACAGTCGTAAATCGTGGGCTGTTTATTCCAGTGGACGCAAGTTGCAACTAAAACAATAGGAGGCAATGGCGCAACGCTACCCAGCAACAGCTCAGTAATGGCGCCCGCTTACTTCCGGTAGTTTCGACGGATTCGTCTATTGTGAGGCGCGTTTGCAACGTCACGTAATACGTAATTACGTTCAAAAGGTCACGGGCGACGTAGCCGGAAGTACAGAATCAAAATCGTCCGACATCGTTGTTTTACCTTTTAATTCCTTTTTTGTAAACGGCGTTTGAGTTAGTTTTCACGTTCAACCTATGCGTTCAACTTGTAAACACTCTGACTCTGTACTTCTGGCTATGTCGTCCGTGACCTTTTGAACGTAATTACGTATTACGTGACGTTGCAAACGCGCCTCACAGAATGGAGAAAGGCTAGCATTTGTCCTTAGAAAAGTTACATTTTTGGAATAAGTTTTGAAATAACCGATCGTTTCGCATGATAAGACCCTTATTCATCGTCTGGTGTCGTTTAAAGACATTTGAAGCTGCATCTGTAACTGTTATAACTGTCGTTTGGACCTCGGTTGGACCGTCTGGTTCCCATGGAAGTCCATTATAAGGAGAAAAATCCTGGAATGTTTTCATCAAAAACCTTAATTTCTTTTCGACTGAGGAAAGAAAGACTTGGACATCTTGGATGACATGGGGGTGAGTAAATTATCAGCAAAAGTTTTTTCAAAAGTGAACTAATCCTTTAAAATGTCATTGTCATCTCATTCTAGTGAACCCAATTCACATCTATCGTCACACCCCTAAAATGTACTGTTTAAGACTATTCTGATATTGTCATAGATCTAAATCTACACAGCCCTGAAGACAGGGTAGGGACCTGTTGTGTTTGGTTTATTTTTTATGTTTTTTTTTTTTTCGATCAATCTCCTCATTGGTTTCTGATTGCTCAGAGGTTCTGTGTGGCTTGTTGGTTTGTGTCTATTTGTGCGTTTGCTTTCGCTGACTGCTGTGTGAGAAGCTGGCGTGAGGCTTGGCCTGCCGTGATTACTTTGGCATGTACCCCCCCTCGTTCTCATGTTGCCATCCCTCTTATAGGGCAGTCAGATGCCGAGGCCAGCGGCTCAGGTACAGGTACAGGCCCAGGTGAGTGCTCCCCGTCGCCCCCTGCTTGAGTGGAGGTCCAAGAAGGACCTAGTCAGGCCCTGTTTTGTTTAAAATGGTCTGATGGCCTTTGACTTGACAATCATCCAACAAAACATCAATTATAAATATTCCTTTGTATGGCCTAATTTAAAGTATTGAAATTTTCACTGCCTGGATTGAGAGACTGTAAAGAACTTAGTGTTGCGTCTCTCTGCTGATGTAATGACTGAGCAGTAATAGGCTGTGTGTTGCAGCAGAGATTGCATCGATACAACTGTCACTGAGTATTAATGTCTCTTCTCTCTCAAAGATAAAATTGCACTGGAAGGATTGGTGGTGCAGAGAGCTGAATGCAGACCGGCCGTCAGTGAAAACTACATGAGGCTGAAGAAGTATGTTCATATATGCACACTAGCTCTGTTACTAAACCCGTTGAACTGCTATTGAGGCCAGTTCGCTCCAAGAATGATGACTGTCTATATATAACAGTAAAAAATGCACACAAAAACATTTTGTTTATTAAAGCATGCACTGTAGTTATGTTGTCCACCACTTTAAATGTTTAAACACAGTCAATTTTGTGTTTTGTTGCAGACTGCAGATGGAGGAGTTGTCTAAACCGCTCAGGTTCTCTCAACAGCTCGACAAAGCCGTTACCACCAACTACAAACCTGTGGCTAATCACGCATATAATGTATGTCAAACTTTTGAGTCCTAAAACAGATGCAAGTATTGTACTATTGATAGTTGATGCACTCTCTCTCTCTCTCTTTGTTTCTGTATTTCTCAGCTGAATTATGAAAAGAGGAAGAAAGAAGAAGGGAAGAGGGCACGTGCAGATAAACCTCAGGTGTTGGACATGCTGTTCTCCGCCTTTGAAAAGCATCAGTATTATAACATTAAGGATCTGGTGGACATCACAAAACAGCCTGTGGTGAGTTACGCTATTTATACATGAACGTTCAATTTAAAGCATCTTATAGCATAATTATTTCTTCCAAAACATTACTTTGCTCTTTTTTATTCTTTCTGACCCCAAACTTTTGAATGATAGTGAATGCTACAAGGCTACCTATAAAAACTCCCTTTTTCATTCTCCACAGACTTATTTGAAGGAGATTCTTCGGGACATTGGCATATACAATGTCAAAGGCACCCACAAGAACACCTGGGAGCTCAAACCGGAGTACAGACACTACCAGAGCGAAGAGAAGAGTGACTGACAATTTTCACCAGTGGACTCTTTGTGGTTCTGAAAACCTGAAAAACAAACATCCCCAATTTTTTTTAAGGATAATTTTTGTTCTTTTTAAAGGTCTATCATAAACCTGTGGCATTTTACAATGCTAAGCAGTTTTATTAAGCTTGTTAGATTGAGGAATTCCCTTGGGACAACAGAAATATAACTATTCAGTTGAAAAGAACTTCCGATCCTCATCACGTGTTGTGTATAAAAAGTAGATGTTGATGTTTTTTAAGAAGACATATTGATAGATTAATTGTAAACAGTTGTTTTATTCAGATTTAGTTTTCTGATTGAACCACTTATTTTATATAGTATTTCACATTCATTTCTTGAAATAAAGGTTTTTGTACAAAAATCGTTTTTTTTTTTTTTTTTTTCTCTCCATGTTGTATCTTTGCACACATTGTGACTTTTTTGATTCACACAGCAGTACTGGGATAAATGTTAATTAATAATCAAAGTATTTAATAATTTATTGTGATTATTTAAAAATATATTAGATTAATGTTAATGTCCTTTTATCCTCAGCTAATCACAGAGTAAAAATGTACCATGAGGTTTCTACATGATCCTACCATGTATATATTGAGGAGAATTGCTGTCATGGGAATTTGAATTGATATATTTCATTTGAAGTGTGAGCATTTTGAAAGCAAAAATTTATGTCATTGTGGTCATGAAAAGGAGTAATAATGCATCAAGAAACATGAAGCAGCTTATTACCACAAACAAGGTCATTATTTGGGCATTCTTAGAAGCCACAAGGATCTTAAAGTGAATTAATTATGAACTCATTTTATACCATTACACTAGACACAAATATAAGGCTTGGACGATAATATTGAGCACACCTAGCTAATCTACTTTTAGACAATTTTCCTAGGTGAGGTTAGACACAAAATCTATAGGGTAACTACTCCGATGTTCCACTTTAAAATCATAATTGTGCAACTCTTTTATATGTTTATCAAGGATTCACCTCATTGCTTTCGCAGACATAAAACACACCCCTCTTCAAAAAAAGCAAGCATTTGTTTCCAATGTGCATCTGGAAAAAACATTTACTGACCAATTCACTTTTGTCACCACCTTTCATTTAGGAGGTCAAGCAGAAATGTAAGAATAGCAATATCCAAGCATTATAAAGAATAGTTTAAGTACTAAAACAAATGCTTTACCATCAGAAAAAATACAGGATAGGTCTATTTAAGGAATTTTCTGTTGTGGAGTTGATCACTGCTTGCTTTACTTTTATTTACAAGCACAGACATCAACAGTCCACATTTTGATGTGTTAAGGACCTTTTCTTGTATTTTAAGGCTTGATCCTCACTAAATCCTGTATAACTTTATTTTCCACTTCACACTTTAAGGTCTTTAGGGGAAACTGGGACACTTTTTCCCCATTGAGATGACTGGGAAAACCCTGAATTTCCTGAATTAAGCCTAGATTAACATTTCTTCATATTATGAGGTACAACTTCTGCATAAGATAAACAGTATCATAACATCCTAGCTATTTTTATTCTTATTACTGGTTCAAATGGATGCAGCTGTTCATTGTATAAATGGAACAAATACCCAAAGCATGCCATTTATTTTTTTTTTCCTTAATATACCTTTGTTCAATTTTCTTTGCATTAAAATGAAGACTAAAGGCCTGTTCACACCAAGCACGATAACTATAAAGATAAAATTCTAAAAATCGTTTTACATATTAAATAATAACAGAGTTCACACCACAGCTATAACGATAAAGATATGAGGAACAATATCAGGAACGCTTTCATTGGGATCACTTTCAGAACTATTTTTTTTTCCAGCCGTCAACGATAAAAGACTGACAACCAATCAGAATCCATTCTAATTTAAAGATCTCACGCATTTAAAATAGCAGATGACATTGCAGAGAAGTTAATCGTCGAGGTAAAAAAAAAAAAAAAAAATTTTGACAAGTCAAACCCACTTTTCAATTATGCGTCAAAAAAGATAGATATATGGAAAGCAATCGGTCGTATCCTGGGAATAAACGGTGACAAGTATTTACAATGAGATATTATGCAGTTTAGCATACTAGTGTTATATTACCTCAGGTAGGCTAGTACCCAGCGCTAGTTAACAACATTGCTGAAGTTGCAGTGAAAAAGGTGTTGTATACATTTATCCCATCATTGACTTCATCAGATAAATCCAGTTAGATATTACATAGACTTGCTAGATTAACTGTTTAGGTGCACTCCCAACTCCTCTCGTCTTTTAAAGGATAGCATGTACCCAAAAGCGACTGTTCTTTTTTTTAATATTTGTTTGTAACGTAAAGCAGCAATCATCCATTTTCCCTACTTTGAAACCGCAGCACGGGCGCGTGCTTAGAATAAAAAGACCGTTATCGGTCATTGGTGTGGACGCATATATAATTATCTTTATAGTTATTCTGCTTAGTGTGAACGGGCCTTAAGTCTTTTAAGAGCACCTCTTCATTTTTAGTTAATCATGGAGAAAAGGGAATTGGATTTTAAATGATCTAATATGTACTTCTATATATTCCCACTGCCCCCAATCACGTTTTATTCTTGGTGTTTCGTATAGTAAAAAAAGGCACCTATGTAGAGCTTCCAACTTATCTTAAAGGAGCTTTATCTCCTTTACCCTTTAAAGTTTTTTTTTTTTTAATCAATGGCAGATGAGCAAAAGCTAATTGGATAAAACAGAACAGGTTGATTAAACTTGGTAGACAAGATAGGCAGAATTAACAAGCAAAAACTTTAATAAGCCAGCAGCTTGATTTTATTCAATAATGGTGCCAAGAAATCCTATACAATCCTGTGAATCAATGAGAACGCGGGGAAAATTACAACTGTACATCTGCTGAAACTAGAAGCTGACATGCACAGCAAATGAGAAGCCAGCAAGTCAACTTCACCTCCATGATAAAGAAATAAAAGAGAACCCCCAAATTACTCGGTTCCTTTACCACAATCTTTTCAACATTGCAGTTTGGCTTGCTAAAAGTCCTGTTTTTAATTTCCTTTGAATGGATAGTTCACGTCTTCTCGCCATGGATGGACGCAAGCCAATCAAGAAACGAAAACGGCGGCCTCGTAATGTTAAAAAGAGCCTCTGGTCCTGATGGAAAGAATGAGGGGGAATGACTTGTTTAATCCATGGAATCCAATCCATCAAGCAGAAGCCAGAATTGGAGGGGTAACTTGAAGACATTTGGGAAGTTTACTATGGTGAGAAAGAGAAACACAAAAGGATCAATTTTGTTTCAAGTTAATACCATAAAGACCCAAACACAATACATAACACACAACACATTTTAAAATCTAAGCATCCCATCATGCAACAAGTTTCTTTTAATCTGGTTCTATCCTCCTCAAATTAATCCTTTCCAGCCACCATTCAGATGATGGCCAGGCATCATGAGGAAAATTACTGTTGCATCCTTGTGCAAGCCCAGACACCACCAATAATGGCAACAGGCCTATCAGTGGATGCTACGCAATAATTCAAGAACTTGCGAAATTTAATATATAGCAACGGAAACATAACACTTAATGTAAAAGAAATTAAAATGACTTCATAAACTTACGCATTTCTCAATCTCCAGACCATCCTTGAAAAAGAGCATGAATGGTGTGACTCCATCCTCACGGAAGTCAAGGAGACCAATTATACCGTCCGGGTTCATGGATTCGCCAGTGAAAAACTAAGATTGAGAAAATCAGTTAGACCACAAAGCAGTTTAGTAATCCAAAACAACAGTACTGGGATCCCCACTGATGCACGTGTAAAGATATCAGTGTTTCATTTCGGTCGATATCGATAATTATTGATTTTATTTATGACCCATGTAATATAAGGACCAGGAGAAAAATATAGTACATTTAAACATTATTATTTTAAACTTAACCTTCCTCTGATTATAATCCCAAGACAGAAATGTCAACACTCCCATGGAAAACTCAAATAATTAAAATGTAAACATAAATCTAAAAATCATAATCAGACCTCCAAACTCCTCGGAGTAAAAAAGGTGACAGTGGCACGGTGCGGCGGAACAGGATAAATTTGCTATATTTCAGATCAATTTATTTGTTTTCCTTAATTTTAATTAACCCTAATTTTATTCTCATTGGAATTATAAATAATTGATTTCTGTATAAAATAATTTAGGGGTAGAATAAATATGTTTTGCTTTTATAAAGGAGTGCGAGTGACAGTTGCAGGTTACAGTTTGACAAGAAATAGTGCGACAAAAGCACAATGCTGTGTTTTATTGTGAGTATAGGCCTACACAAATATAAGTAAACACTTTGAAGACTGAATTATGTCCTGTATCAACAAAATGATGGAGTTTTTGTGCCTCTCTCTCACACAGTTCGATCATCTGCATTCTCTCTTGTGCGTTGCACACACACACTCAAGCATTGCAATCTTGACATTGCAGCCTGTTCATTATGCGATCCAATAATGTTTCGCAATTCTAGCTGCATGGCATTCATTTTCTGCTTCTCAATCACCGGTTACGGAAGAGGAATCCAGCAGCACGAGACAATATGGCGCAACCAAACTGACACGTTAACTTACATGATTGCCATTTAGCGCGTCACTCCCTACGTTGCTAGGTTACCAGAGAGTGAGTGCCTTTGTTAATGCACGAAGAATGACTTCTTATCCATCAAAAAAAATAAAAAAAAAAGCATTTTCTATTGATATCGATAACGTGTCTATCGGGACACATATCGTTATCGTGTTATCGCCCAGCCCTACATCACTTGGTTGCAAGGGTGTGGTACATGCAACAAACTTGTCTGTACGATGTTCTGGTGCTGAGATATGGTGAGATACAGCCCACCTAAAATGCTGACGAAATCCAGTCATAAAGGAATTTACAGTATATTTGAGGAATAAATAGAAAGCGGTTCACTACACTTGAAATCAAATCACGTTGTAGACTAGTGTGTGTGAATATTTAACCACAAAGACCATTTAAATACAAATCCTGCCTTGTTCCATGTGCATGAATAGTGCAGGTGACGCACAGTTTTATTGACCACACACACACACAATGAAGCATGTGTGAGGCTTGCGCTGTTTTTTTGCCTATATGAAGACAGAAATGATTCCTCTCCAGGCTCTAGATCCACACTGAAAGTCACTTTGTGACTTCATTTGAGAAACTATCATCATGACCAACACAAACTCAAAAGGTCTTCACCGCAACCCGTCAAAATAAAAGTTCGGTTCAACTTGACAGAAATATATTACTGTTGTACCAATTGTGTCCAATTTTCTGTGTATAATGGTTACATTAATTTGCATGGCACTGCACAACTTTGTTTCCCAAGGCTACATAGGCTTAAATGTTTATAGTTTGAGTTTGGATTAAGTTTTGTTGCTGTTTTTGCACTGTTGCTTTTCACAGCAATTTAAAATGCAAGTAAAAAACTGTTTACATGCAGCAGCAGAATAGAGGCCAACGGCCATTCTGTGATTTGGTGTGCAGTTATTTAGATAATTGTGGATCTTTTTCCACAACTGTTAAACAATTTTATTTGATGGAACAAAACTTTAATATTATTTGGTGAAATTATTTATATTTAAAAATATTTTAGGTTTTCTATTACATCATACACATGATAGATAGATAGATAGATAGATAGATAGATAGATAGATAGATAGATAGATAGATGTCAGCCAAGTACATCCGGTTTCGGCCCAGAATTTTCGTTTCGGTGCATCAATAACCAACCCCAAACTTTTGAACGGTAATTTATACAAAAAAAATAAAAAAACAGAAGTTACTTCAGCATACCTGATAATTTTTGATGTTGCCTAGAATTTTCTTGACCTCAGCTGGTGCGTTAGCCATGAAGGGGTCTACCCTGTCAGGTGCACTTTCCTGTAGCTTGGCTTTCACTCTGTCACAATGAGAGGGGAGAAGCTAATATAACTAAAATATTTAAGTTTCATTTAGCTTCACAAACTGCCAAGCACAGTGGTTTCAAATGAAAATTCTGTAGTCCCCAATTCAATCTTACATGCCACTCACTGGGCAGGCAGAAAGCGCAGGGACCTTTAATTTTGCATCTCAATATTTTAAAACCCAGGTGGCCACAATGCAAGACTCTGAGCTGTCAATGATGCAAAAACTTATACCAGGAAAATAATGCGAATCATGATATTTACTGTACACCAAGCCTGTTGCAAGATAAAACATGCCTCCTAATGTTAAACTTACGCCTTCATGTAGTCCTTGATGTGTGCTGTGTAAGACTTTTTGTCAAAGGAGGTCTCCTGAAGTTTGTGGTTCAGAACAATATCCACACCGCTGACAGTGGCAGTCTCACAGCCCTCATCCTGAACTTCTGCTGACGCATTGCCACCAATCAGTGCATCATCTATGTCTCCCTCTGCTCTACTGATCATCTGCAAAAAAAAGTCAATGACTGTAGCTGATCATCAACATATAGATTGGGAATTGAACAACCAAAGCTAATACCTGTAGAACTGATTAGAAAAAGTGTTTGATTCAATTTGGCACGCACAATTATTTTGCTATAGCCCGTTAGAGATCATACTCAGATTATGGTGGTTTCATAGGTCATAACTTTCATAAAGTCATCATTTACCCCCTTTCCACCAAAAAAAGAACTGGTTCGGAACTGGTGCTGGTTCAAAGTTGGTTCAACTTGCGAACCGCTTCAGAACCTGCCCAGGGAACGACGTTGTTACGTCACTGCGCAAGTCGCCATACGTCTTAGCTAGAAACGCTTGCAAGTACAACACTACTTTGGGATTATCTCTAACTCATGTACCAAGAAGGCTTTAAAAACAATTAAAAATATGCAAGTCTTTTAATCTTTTCGTTTGGTATGTAATCTTTTCTGATAAGTTATGTACCCCTGTCTTGCGTCTTTTTCTTTCCATTTATTTGTTCTATATTGTGACGTCTTCAATAAAAAAAATTACAAAATAGAAACGCTTGCGTTAACTTCAAGCATAACAATTACAAATGCGGACTCCATCGTGTTTCTGCAAATGTTTCTCTTGGCTTTGCGATCCTTTATTATGGTCACAAAAAAATGTTTAGAACACATCTAAACCCGCCCCAGCCTGTGACGCAAGCATGACGTGGTAAAAGAACGGTTGTAGTCCAGCAAAGAGTTGGTACCGCTTTGGAACCAGTTCTCCTGGCCGAGAACCGGTTCTTTGGCTGTCGAAACACAAAGAACTGGTTCGCGCACAGGCACCAGCTCCGAACCGGCTCTCAAAATGCTTTGGTGGAAAAGGGGCTATTGTATGTCCATGGGAAGGCTGCCACTCAATAAAAAAAAAAAAAAAAGCTGTTTGGATCAAATGAACCTCCATACCTTTCCCTCCACTTCGATCATCATTCCATTCTCAGACTCTTTGATTTTGTAGATGTCAGAGAACATCTCATCCCCTGTAAAAGAAGAAGAAAAAAAAAAGTAAAATTCTCAGTCCAATGCGTTTAGTTACTTCTGATTATTTTATTTCTCTAGTCCACTCACTAAGTGAAAGACAAAACAGATCTTGCGGTCCGACTTAACTCCAACGAATATTAACTGGAATGCACTACGAATCTCTCACTTTCTGCATAAAATTCTGCCTGGGTTTTCACACTAATGCTTTAACCCTCTGCTGCTGTTCTGCCAATTTTGAGCAAAATGCATTTTGTTTTTAAATTTACTTCATCAGAATAGTATGAAACTTAAAGGTTTTGGCACTTGCTATGTGAACACACACAAAAACATGGCCGATTCGAAAATGTTAAACAGTTCAGTATAATTGTACGGTTCATGGGCAAATTACCACAATGAAAATAAATGGTAGGCAAATTTCATGTATTATAAAACATTTTAAACTGCAGCCAAACAAAAACGCTACTAAGTGCTTAAACCTCAAATCTTTGTTTCAGTTTTAGACTAAAATGTGTTTTGGAAAATATACATTTCTTAATTTGTGCATTTTTCAATACAAAAAAAAAGGGGTGATTTCCCAAGCTTACCCCTTTAAACTTTCATCTCTTCTTTTGACTTCAGCAATTATGTGCCTGACATTTAAAATAAGACCAACACTCTGTGCTACAAAGCATTAAGTTAAATGTATGACATCCAAGTAAGAAACGTCATTTTTAGGTTAATGCTCAAAAAGTGACCAAACTTATCATAACTACAGCATATATATATATATATATATATATATATCCAAATAATTTAATACAATTAAATAAACATCTAACTAAAATAAAGTACATTTCTTTGAAAAATAGTTAACTTTGTTCAGTATGACACCCAAGTTGGAAACGTCATTTTTAAGTTAATGCTCAAAAAGTGAACGAACTATATAACTATATTTATAACTACAGCATGCATATATATACACAGTACCAGATTGTTATATAATTTAGTACCAGATAGTTTAATACAATTAAATAAACATCCAACTAAAATAAGGTACAACCATTTCTTTGAAAAATAATATTACATTTTTAACCAGAGGGTTAAAGAACATGTAGTTACGATTTATAACAGAATTAACATTAAAACTAAAATATTTGACACGTCCGCAATGTTGCTGCGGAAAGACTGGTTTGAACTTTTGGGTCAATTCATAATCTTCTGAGAGTAACGTTAATTTATTTAAATCTCCTTGTGGTGTTCGACGGTTGAGGGGTGAAAAGAATGCCGCCTTGTTGTAACGCAAGTTACCCAGTTTTTGCCATCACTTATAAACTTAACGTTACCCCAGCATCGACCCTTTAAAAAGGTTTACTGTCCGTTATCTGAGTGGAGTTCAACGGATGTTAACTCACCCATAATTGCGCAAACCGTCATGGGTTTTTTAAAGAAAAGGTCAATAATTCTCAAATGAAATAACTTTCCATTTAAAGGCCCTCAGAAATGAGTGACGAGTAACGTTAAAGTTATCTGGCCTGGACTAGTAACACGCCCTGTTTAGCGCTCATTTCATCATCTTAAAAAGGGCTGTGAATACGAAAAAAAAAGCCTAAACGTCACTTGAATTTTCAAAATGAACCGTTTCCGTTCAAATTCACAGGAGATATTTTCCAAAACAAACAGCGATTTAGAGGAGTATGAAAACACTACCAACATAACTTCTAACAGGCACCAAACTGGCCGACCGGCGTTTTAACCCAGCTGCTAACACCCATTCATCGATAAACTTTGTTGAAACACAACCAAACACGCTTATTCCCTGAAATAGTTTGAGTAAAATTAATTCGCAATGGTAAGGTAAACAAAATTGCAACATAAAATCGCGGCGATGAAGCGAACGTCTATATGGTTTACAGCTTGGTTAGCCACTAGCTAAGCTAACTGCATTCAACAAAGTTAGGCCGCAAAGAGCCGGGAAAGACCGGCCCTTTAAAACATTTCAACAACATTTCACACCAAAAATATAGGTAAAATCGTATCATTTCGGAATGCAACGTTGTGTTAGACGCTATTCTTACCGGTGATGATGTCCTTGTAGATGATCATTTTGTCGGATTGTGTTTGAGGGTGTCAGGAGGCAACCAGCGCTGGCTGTGACCTGATCGCGGACTCAGCTGAAAAAGGCCGTCGTTTCGATTGAGCATCTTATATATGCGCTGAGAAACACTGGCGCCCTCTAACGGTATAACATGAAATCACTCCGTCCACAGGTATTGCGAGTTTAGTAAAACTTTTGTTTCATTGGTTCCCACTGAACGATATAACTATTTTAGATATTGGGAAATTACAATTTCAGAGAAATATACAAATTTTTACAGTGTTGAAACAGCAGCCAAGACATATGTGACATTACAGGCGTCTGGATCATTCATCTTATGCAGTAGGTTATTTTCCATCATCATACAATATTATACTGTCTGAATCTGATGTAACGTTTATATTATACTATACTATATTATATTAGTTATTTTTATTTTATCAAAGTTATGAATCTCATTTGAGTGGAACTTTTTTGCTATAGAATTTTTGGACATTTTTGCTGGAGGCTATATGCACTGAATTCTAACATGAAAAACTGGCCGTGTATTAAGAAATATACCAGGCATTTATTATATATTTTTCTTTCAATTTTAATTAAATTCAGAAAGCTTTATTGGGATGACAAAAAAAAAAAATAGCCTACATTTTGTATTGCATCAAAACAATATGATTTAATTAAGGGTAAGTGTACCTATTAAGCCCATCAAAAGTCTTGTTTTTTGTTGTTGTTGTTGTTGTTGTTGTTGTTTTTTTCATAGATATTGACATAGTTTATAAGAAAAATAATTTGTTAAAATGCAATATTTATCTCTCATTTGAAAATGTATTAATTAGCCTAGTTAATGTACAATTTAGAATATAAAATTAAGATAATTTAGGAAAAAAGTCACAAGTCTGGCATGGGCTTAATTGGTTCTTTTGTACTATTTAAGCCTGTGTTCCAAGCCCACATCCTCATTGATTCACAAAATGTAAAGATCAATTGATTTAAAAAAAGCAAAACATCAATATATTTATTCAGTGACAGGGAACTATTAAAAAAAAAATTATTTTGCTAATGTATGATTCGAGCCATGGGTGGGATCGATAGCTGTAAGTGGTCGGTGGTCTGCAACCTTAAAGGGGTGGTTTACTGCTTTTTTTTCTTTGCATGATTGTGTTTATGGTGTGCAATATAACATGTATTCGTGGTTTTTCTTTTTTAAAAAGTCTTATTTTTCATAAATTTCACCTTTATTGTAAGCCGCGCTCTCCTCTGTCATTTGAATGATCGGTTGACTTCTATGAAACCACTCCCTCAGAAACAGGCAGTGGGCTCAGATTGGTTCGTTTGGGCCGGTTGTGATTAGGTTAACTGTAATGCACATTGTCCGGAAAATTCAATCCCATTACCTTGACTGGAGTTGTAGCTGGAGTCAAGCTGGAAGTTTGAAGGCTGTATCTCGGGAGCCAAGCCGAGTTGGGGCTCCATACTATGGGCTTAGTCCCACACCGGGATTCTGGAGCCTTAAGTTGGCTTGGCTCCCGAGTTATGCTTGGTCAAAGGTGCCTCAATCAGACACCAAAAAGTTTATCGATCGGTTTATTGATCACTTTGAGCGTCACTCCACATTGTCATCAGCAGCTAGCACTAAAAGGATCTGCACTTAAGTTGTTGAAGTTGGGTTATTTAATAAATTAATAATAAATAACAATAAAGATAGGCTATACTGTTGAAATATGTGAGATGTGTAGTTTATATAAACTGCAAAGGTAAAGGATAAATTAAAATGATTGTACCTAAAAGGATGTGAAGGGGGAGGAGAATTGATATGTGCGTCATGTTTAGTCAATAAAACAGTTCCGCATAGGACACACCCGTGTATCCTCGCTCATGACTACCCTGGAAGTCTCCTCACTCCTCGATCCTCGACTACTCACGGTGCAATTAGAGAATTGAGATGTCTTTCAAGATGGCTGAGCTCGATCGGTTTCCGGGTCATAGGAGGGAGGACGGAGGAGCGAGATGACGAGGAGGGATATTGAGAATATCAATGCTGTGTTACTCTCTTATCCCGTGATGTCCAAACGTGTTTCTCTGTGTTGGGTATTTTATATTTTTGTGCTAACTGTCTAAAATAAATTTGCAAATGAATTGATTGGTTTCCTACAGTTTGATTTGATTAATCGAGTCCTTTATATGTAGCTGGTGTTTTTTTTTTTTTTTTTTAAATAAGCCATCCAGAGTTTACTTATTGCCAGGATTAAATGCCTGGCTTGCACCCGAACAAATCAAAATAATTGTGGTTGTATCTGTCTTCTCTGACGATCTAGTTTGACACTGTCCCGTTTCTTTTTTGGCCTGGAAGTTACTGACAGTAGGGGTTGTAGGCTGCTGTTGGCCAGCTGCTCTCTGATCTGTACCAGTTCTATTTCCATCTGGGAGAAGTGTTCTCTCATGATGTCCAGGGCTGTATCTTTCTGCATTAAAAATTGGAGCAAGGTTTAATGAAGAAGGAGGCAGGAACCAGAGAACAATCAAATAAAACTTTATTTAAATGAAATAAGCAAACAAACAATATTTCCTCACGGAACTACTGGCTACCGAAAATAAAATATAACAAAATAGAAACAAAAGCAGGCCTGTTCCTCTCTCCATCATCCACATCGCCACTCCTTCGCGAGAGATGTGAGACCGGTGTGCTCACAGGTGGAGCTCATTAGCAATCGCACCACCGGCCTCGCATCATTCTCTCACGTCCCTCGGCCGTCCTGTTTGCCACAAAAATATGTAATGTTTTATGGTAATGTTAATTGTTAATTAATAATGCAACCCCATTTTCAGAAAAGTTGGGACATTTAGTAAAATCCAATCAAATCAAGAAACTGCGGTTTGTTGATTCTCTTTAACCTTTATTTAACTGACAAGATTTCCATTACACGAGAGTAGATGTTAAAACTTCATGCTGATTTATACTTGGCTTTCGCCAAGGAAAGCAAAACTAAGACATAGCTTTACAGTAAACTATGCTTCTCCAACCATTTACGCTTCTTTCCATATGGTGGCGTGACTCCTCTTCTGTCCGCCATTAACGGCTACAGTGTACCTGCCGCGTCAGCACACACGACGGCTGCAACTACAGTGTGGTCTCCCTAGTGGACCAAGACGACAACCGTCTGGATTGAGCCGAGTAGGGGACATCTCTAGGGTCTTCAAGTGGGCACCTTTCATCCTCAGTGTTTCGTTGACTAGCCCACGACACCTCAAGAGGGATCGACAGTGAGTCTGGCGTCCCAGAGTCACCCCCCTCCGTCCCCCACTCAACTCAGCCCAGCTGAGGCGATCAGATACTGACCTCTACATCCCTCCTGCTGCTGAGACCTAACCGCAATCATACAATCTCTCCGCAACCCAACCATACGCGCCAACCCGTTTGACTAAAGCTGTCGAGCCCCACTGGTGCGTCAATATGCAGTTTCAGTGGCAACGGTTCCGTATGGCATACCACCTACCGCAAAACACAATATCTGCCCAACCACCCGTCATTCACACAATATCCACAGGAACGTATACAAATAAACCAAGTATTCTATGAAACCGTAGCATGGCAGCCTGTACATAGCCAGCTAGAATCTTTCCGTCTCAACCACAGCCAGTTGCTGCTTCTTTCTGCTGCTTCAGATAAGTTCTTTACTGTGCGACGCAACTCTTGGCCACTGAATCCAACGTCTCTGAGGAACCGGGTTGTAGAGTGTGCCACAAAACCTCGACAACCCACTTCCACTGGATAAACCTGGACTCTCCATCCTTGCTGTTCTGCTTCAATGGCCAGTTGAGCATACCGCAATTTCTTCCTCTCATATGCTTCATCTACCACATCCTCCCATGGCACTGTTAGCTCTATCAGCTGAACAATGCGTGCTGATCCAGACCACAAAACAATATCTGGTCGTAAGTTAGTGGTAGCAATCTCGGGTGGAAAAATAAGCCGTTAATCAAGATCAGCCAGCATCTTCCAGTCCCTAGCAGCTTCCAGTTGTCCTGGGCGAGAATTGGTGTTAACACCTTTTCTTGGTGGTTGCTCGCCTGGGCGGAGGAAAATAACAAAAGTATAAAGAAATTATTTACAATGTTTTCACTGTATGTAGTTGGTACTTCAGTGTATAGATCTTTATGACATCTATTCCTAGGTGTGACCAGGGTTGTTGAGGTATTTGGAAATGGAAGACATTAAATTAAGTGATGAGGAGATTTGGATACGGCACAGGTGGGACATCCTTGCACATGGTGCTGAACTTCCTGGGTCATATGGGATGAGTATTACCCCTTTTCCACCAACAAGAACCAGGTGCTGGTTCAGAGCTAGAGCTAGTGCTAGTGCTGGTTCGGAGTTGGTTCAACTGACGAGCTTTCAAAGAACCGGTTTGCCTTTCCACAGGCTAGAGAGCCATCACAGAGCCAGATCTTACGTCACTGAATACATCTCATGTTGCCCAGCAACGCACGGCACACACAAACACACCAGGCTTGTTCGAGATGGTTCGGCACTGTGAATCTCGAACTGCGAGAGCAATTTGAAAAAAAAAACATTAGAAAAAGATTTGATTCAAAAGCAGAAGGAGTCGTTAACTCTCCAAACTCTCCCGCAGCTCTGATCAGTCCACGCTGTTCCGATGCATCTCGAACAAGCCTTCCATCAACATTGGTGTTTGTTGCGTTACTATTTATGCTCATGGCTTTGCAAACCTACATCGGTATCCAAACACAGCGAATCCAGCACGTCCGTGCAGCTCGCTTGCATTAACGGAGATTACAATCGAGCTGCTATTAGCATGATTAGCTGCTATTTAAAAAATGGCAGTCACAAGTTTCTATTCGTCTTGTTGGTCACGGTAACCCCGCCCCCAACCGCTGACGTAAGCAGTTCTTACTTCTAGACCAGCAATGATTTGGTGCTACTTAAGAACCACTTTTACTGGTTCGGAGCTGGTGCTTTGGTGGTCGAAAAACAAAGAACCGATTTTAACTAGGCTCTGGCTCCGAACCAGCACCAGCTCTGCCTTGGTGGAAAAGGGGTATATGGTTGCCTGGGTGTCCTGAGCATAAGGAT